GGTTTCGAATTTTTTCTTCTTGACTTTTTCTGCCTTACCGCACCTCTCTCATCGCATCTTTATTGAATTCAGGCACCCAAAAAGGGCTGTGCAATTAGTGACCGATTAACAGAGATTGTACCATCCTTTTTTTATGGGAGGAGAAGGAGGGAGTCTAATTTTTTGCGCTTAAATATATGATTGCTATCATTTACGAGTAGACTGAAGGAGGTTTTGCAGAATGATTGATAAGGAATTATTAATAAAATATATGATTGTCAATGTTTAGGCTAAACAATTGTTGCTTGATAATTATCGCACTATATTTCTCACCACATCTGTGAGGTAGCCACAGATTATCGGCGGCTGGTGGTGATCATCGTTTGTAAAAATTCTCTAATAAAAACGCTCAAACCATATGGATAACAGATCTTCATTACTTATCAGTAAAGATGTTGTTAATCTAACTAGATGACAGCAATATAAATACACTTTTGGAGGTCTTTAATTGAGTCACCAATTATAGAAACACCAAAGCGTTCTGAAGAAAACTAGTTGATTGTGATTGACAGTTAATACTTAGATCTCTGTGAGTGTTGCATACAGTACGACAATTATCGTATATTGATAATGAAATTATAATTATTTTTTGAAACCAACTTTGTCATGTTAATCAAGTAATTAAAAATCTTTTAATTATTTTTATTTTTGCTTATTTATTAATTTATATTGTTTGAATATTCACAGATTATGATGTAGAAGCCAAAATTTAAGAATTACAAGCACTTTACATAGATGGAACACTTTGATGATCATTGCCAGACAGTTATCTAACACTTTTTACACTTTATGGCTTCCACTAATCAGTCATTAAATTCAATAAACTCTGCATCATTTACAGGGTGGCCTAATTGAAACGACATAAATTAATTTTTATAAAATGTAAAAAAAAAAATTTTTCTTGTATTTTTTTTTCTGACAAATTTTTATCATTTTGAACTACTACGTCAAGGACAACATTACACCTCAAATACAGCACACAGTAATTACTCGTCGATGCAGCTTTAATGAACCCTTATTGCATCTGATAACTATTTCATGTAGTCTGGCAGTGAAAACTGCTATCAGGTTCCAGCTGAAAATTAAATCTTTAAAGCAGAAACTACAGAAACTTCAAAAAATTGTAGACGTTCAAAATTTGATTTGTCTGTCGATTAATACAATTGATACTCCAGTCACGTTTACTGTAGAAAAGCATCTCAATATAATAACTTTTAAGGTTTTTTACAGCTTAAGTGAAAACAGAGAAGTATCAAAAAAAAGTGCTTAGAAGTACTCTTAAATCACCGTTGCTTAATACTGCATTTTATGCTTGATGTGAAGCAATATATGCTTATTTATCATAAGCTGTCTATTCAAAAATTATTTTTATGGCGGGTTAGATTATCTTCTGACTTCGGGTTTTTATTACCAACTAAACAGAAAACGAGTCTTTTGAAAACAATTTTATATAAACTTTTAGAACTAATCTATTTGAAAAAAATGCTTTTTGTTACCTATTTGAAACAAAACTTGTTTTTTTTTTTTGTCTTCAATATCAATGCTTTAACACAATTGTCGTTATCTGTTAAATAGTTTGCATATTTGATAACTACTGTAATGTCGTATTTTGAAAACTACAGGAAACAAAAATGTTGATTTTATGCAAATATGCAATCGTAAAAATTTTATCATAAAATAATGGAAAAGGCAATGTAGTGTCAGCTAAAAAAATGCATACCAAGTGAAAGATGCACACACAATACACCATTTTTGTTAAAAGCATTAGTAGTGTACATTATAAGTGATTAAACAGTAAAATGTTTGAATTTTGAGCGCTATTTCGAAAAATTTACATTTTGCAGGTAAAAACTTCAATTTTTTGTGGTATTTTTATACCTAAACAAAAAAAGAGCATACCGTCACTGTGTCTTAACAAAACTTTATTCTAAGTCTAAAAATTTTTTTGTAATAATGTTTAAATATACCAGCTCTTCAGTATTATGATAAATGATTACCAGATATGCTGTAAAAGCCGATGAAATATTACAAAAAATTTATTAAGTTTTGCCGAGCATTTTGTTCAATAAATTATGTTGAAAAAAACACTCTTTAAAACTACTTATTCCTGTAGTTAAACTTAAAATAGACCAGTTGACAGTACTGCTGCTCCTTCCAATGCTCATTGGTTCCACGAAACATAACCAGACAACAGGTCTAGAACAACAATTTTCACTCTATTTAAGATTTTAAGAACATTTTTTAAAAATGTTTTGCATTTTTTTTTTTTTTTT